TGTCCCAGAATTACTAATACAAGTAGACTGTACTTCCATAAATTCTGCCCTAGCTGTTTGTAGACTCAGCTATCAGCTCCATGTTGGTCACGTGCTGATATCTGTATCATTGAATAAGACCCAAAACACATGGAGACCAAAACATACAATCATTAACAAAATTAAGATCCTACCTTGAGTGTGTTTAAGACCTAGTACATAATATTTAAAAAATGTTTAACACTTTAAGGCCTAAAATTGAGATGTTTTAAAACTCCGTATATTCCTAGTTATCAGTTTCTCTCTAAAGATCAGCCGATATGAGCCATCACACACATATCAGCAGTTCTATTTGCCAATATGAAACTTTTATCTTACAGATTAATCAATGCAGAGATGTGCATTCATGCTTACATTTTATTGTGTACATCATTGTCAAGGTCTACATATTTGGTTATTTGTGTTTTCTTTTTATATTGTTTTATAGTTGAACTGAAAAATATCAAGCCTCTATTACGTTACTTTGACCTAAGAGGTAGATAACAACATCTTTGAAATCATTGCCAAATGTTTTTTAATATATGTATAGGTCAGTATATCTGTATCAGATTCAACTGTATATATTAATCTTGAGTCTAATTAAAGAGTGAAATCAGAGAGTTTTATCAATACTGAATAATCAAGAGCTGTGAATTTAAACTGATAACTCACTTTGGATAAAGTTTTAACAGACATCAGTCTCATCCAAAGTTTGAACACCTCATCTTATACATTCTCTCACCTCTCCTCCGGTTCTTCCTCCTCCTCCTCTCTCCCTCCATCTGTCATGGAGCTCACAGACTGAAGAGGCAGACAGGAAGTCTGCTCCACCTGCAGAGGAGACTATGGTGAGAAAACAGAAATGTGTCATTAATCAATATCTAAATTATTTGAAGATATAATTAATATGCTACAGATCACTTAAAGAATAACATATATTGTGATACAACAATTTCTCCTCCATGTGCTATGTATTCATACATTTTCCCCATTATACTCTTATCTACTGAAATCTTCCCTCTCAGCAGATTGTGGTCACATGACTGCTCTAAGCTGTTTTAATAACCGCATGGACCTTTACTCTCAACACTTCCTTCTTACCAGACTGTTGTGTCATCTTGCTGACGGAGCCTTTTGGTTCCTGAAAGAGTTGAACAATAACCCATCATATATATATATATATATATATAAAACCTTTATTTATTTCATAAATACACAGAGGGATTAACTTAATCTTAAACTTTCATTTTCATGTCTCAGTTAACTGAATATATTCAGACCATTACATCGGTGCAGACACCAGAGATAGCACAACATGTTCTAAACTGTATAGTAATGTACACACAGCCATATACTTACAAAAGGCTGCAATAAAGAAGCACAGTTCAGAGTTTGCATGTCTGCAGCCATGTCTGCAATGTTCTGTTGTCATAGCTGCAGAACATGAGACTACAATACTGATGAAACTGCATCAGTCAGGTTTAGAACTTGTATGTGCATCATGCATTAGTCTCCTCACAGGCCAGTGTTGGTAAAGAGAAATTCACCTTAATGTCATGTTCCTCAAAATCTGGCTTTGGTTCCTCCATCAAAACTTTTTGTGCAGCCTTTTCTTTTCCTCTTAACTGCTCAGACCTGCTTCACCATCCATCTATAGTCAGCAATGAGAGGCAGAGTCGGACTGCAGCATCACAACATTTTTCAAAATTTTATTCATGGCTGACTAATATTTATTAGTGTGTGGAATTTGGTGCAAATTAATGTTTGTAAGGAGACTCTACTGAATGAACTCTACTGCTACAGCTTTTAGCTCAATGTGCGGATTTAATGCTTTGTCATAAAGTAAAGTACATTTAAAAGCCTTTAAAAGAGTTTTTACACTGTTGGACCAAACGAGATGCAGAGAAATAGAAAGTGGTAGGCACCGCGTTGCCTGAGTGGATGATAATGCACCAGCCATGTTCTTTTATTCAAAAATGTCTTTGGGTGATTGGTTTTGTTTTTTATTTGTTGGTCTTCTTTTCGTGCAATTAAGGCGATATGAACCATAGAAAAGATTGGTGATATTTTCAAGTTTTTAATCCGTTGGAAAGAGTTGCAGGGCAAACAAAAGAGAACGTCTGTGAGGTGAATGTAGTAGTGGGTGAGCCTGCAATAAAATATATAGTCTTTATATCAAAATTTCACAATCATGATGATTTGTGATCTTATTTAAAGTTTCCAATTGTACAGTTGAGAATGAGCAGACTCAAACCAGCCAAACGGACATAATATATTTAAAACTGAATATTGCACTAAAGACAGCAACAGATCATCTAAAGTATAAGTATCTTATAAGATAGATATTATTCCGGGGACCCCTCATGCACGGTTTTCCTTTGCAACAACCTTACCTGAATTTAGTCATGTGAAAGCACAACACAAGAGAAATGTCTTGGAAAGATAGCAGACATGTATTAAATATATTATATACACACACATATGTATATGGCATGCCGTTCAGGAAATTAAACCTTTGAATATATGGAACGAACCTTTGAATATATTGAATGAAATCTTGAATATATGGAATGAAACTTGACTGACGTCAGACTTCACCGCAGTGCCTGCAACCATCTTGTGTAATGTGTGGATGCTTTAGCTAAAAGGGAGTGACAATGAGTTAGTCCGCTCACAATCTCGTTGCAGCAATATTAACTATGAGGACATCAGTAACACACTGGCGAATGCATGTACGGCCCCAAATCCCCCCGAGACCCCCGCCCAAAACCGTTCTTCTGCTCCCTTTTTAATCGTGGCAGATCTACTACAACAGGCAGCTGTCTATCAGGCCAACCTCAGCAAGTCTTCAACCTCATCGGAGTGCCCGACAACACCCCGTGTACAATCTCCACCCGTACACAAGGAAGGGCCCAAGACACTGTATGGTTAGCTTGATATAGTTTCCAGGTGATTTAATGAAGGTGAAACACGGTGAATGGCCGTGCGTAATGGCACTGCGCTCCACGGATGTGAACGCACCTTGAGTCAAACACACGGCGGCTGCTTCCGGTTGGTGATCGGACACATTTAAAGTTTGATTCCGAACAAAGTTTACAGCAACCTTCTTCCACCAAACCTCTGACGGTGTGAAACCAAACCGCCGACACGCTCCTCTTCCGCCACGAAGCTCGTTCACGTTAAAGTGTTCGTTTACGTCACGCGTGAAAGAGAATCCTGCACGTGCACTGATTACACGATCCTCCAAGTTTTATTTATATATTTATTTTATTCACTTGTATTACTTAGCACAGCGAGGTTTTGTGTAAACTGTCACTGCATATTCTGTAAAGTACTCAGCAATAATAATAATAACAAAAAGAGACATGTGATATAATTTGGCCAATCAGCGCAGCCCTCTGATAGTTCCCAACGTGAATTCGTCATGACGTCAGGATGGACCGAAAGTAAAAAATAAAATGTCCAGATTTTTTAGGATTCACTTGAAACTTAGCTCGTGGACATATTCATGATCGATCGCAATATAAATTGTTGAGATCGCCCAACAACTGTAAGGTCTCAGCACGCTGCGAAACAAGTGCTGCTATAGCTACAAATATTTACAGTCAGATTATATGCTTCCGTCAAGCTACTTCTGCATCTACATTTTTGATGTATGCTGCCATTTCTAAATGAATGTACATAGTCATAGTGTATACAGTTCATAGTTACAAACAGCTGTGGAGGAAGGAGTCAAACTTTCTACTTTAGAAAAAGGAAATAGACAAAAAAACACTCAAGTGTACATACTTGAGTAAAAGTAAGTATTTGCTTTTAAACATACTTAAACATGTAATTTTTAAAAAAGTACTTGCTCAGGAAAACCTATTCCCTAATGCAGCGGTCAGTGGTACCAAGTGTGAAATTCCTAAATTCCTAAATGAATGCTTCACATGATACTACTGAAAACACTTGATTATCACAGGGTCTGATATTACCTGGACCAGTGGATCAGTTCCTCTCTCATTATTGATGTTAACATAAAGCCCTATATATATATTGTGCAATGTATTATGTTATGCAATGCAGTGGAGTAAAGGTGCAGATATTTGCTCACAGATGTGGTGGAGTAAAAGTGAAAATTACCTGAAAGTAAATCTACTTAAAGTACAGATACATACTTACTCTAGTAGTAATGAAGTAAATGTACTTTGTTACATCCAATCACTGGTTACAAATTTGACAACTACTGAATACTTTTTTTCATAATTTTAAAAGTTCTATTATTGCATTTAATCAGTAGAGTTATTTGGAGAAATGAAACAAGAATGGACAAAACTGGAAGAACGGCAGAATATTTGGTCTCCACCCACACACGTCTCCTGTGTCTCACCTCCTGGACATTTTTTAACATATAAGTGATCTAGTAATATGAATAAACACGTTTCTCATGAAGTGCAAACTGCTGTGGCGTGTTCTTGGTTCAGTCATAGGATTGTTTATTCTCTTAGTCACTGTTTCAGCCCCCCCCCTTGCCTCAGGAACACACAGTCATGTTTAGAGCTGGCGCCTCCTCTCCTGTGGTTGGAATTCCAAAGCTGCTCTGTCATGTTAAGCCCTCTTCCCTCCTGTGCAACTCAAACTTCCTGACTCATGCTTTTAGTCCTGTGCTGCTCCTCCTTGGCCTCTTATTTTTCCCAAGCTGTGCTCAGAGTTGCTGCATCATGTTAACTCTTAGTCCCTCCTACTGTTTCTGCTGAAGTTGCCAGATCATGTTTAGCTGCTTTGAGTCACTTGAGTTCCTGTTTTCTTTCAGCTGCTGGAGGGAGGAGACAGAGCCGGGCTGCTATAAAACAGGGACAGGACTGTGCAGCAGGCACACAGAGCAGGACATCCTGAGAGAAGACAGTGGATCACTGTGGACACAGACCCAAACTAACAATCCTACAGGACTTCAAACTAGCTGGTGAGTGAGACACAACAGTTACTTCACTGCTTTTGTCCTACTCTGAATTTTATAATAATAATTTATGAATTATCAGTTGTAAAAATATGTTTTAAACCTCTTCAATCACTGCATTGTGTTGATGATCATTCCAGAAGATGTTTTTGTTCTATAAAAACATTTACATTTTTTTCAGGGCCACAATGGAGACAGAGAAGAAGACTCAGTCAGCAGCAGAGCAGATGACGGACAGGTAAAATGAATAGATGTTATAAAAAAAATAACATTTCACCGGAGGATATTATCCATCCGTGGATTCAGTTTTAATTACTACAGAAATTCATATCATTAGAATTTATTGATCATAGTATTTGCATTAATCAAGTGATCTGCATCACATCCAAATGTAGGTCTCTAGTACAGAACGTGCAGACTTTGGTCAGTTTATCAGCTGTACACTGCTTATGTTGCATGTAGTGATGTAATTCATACATTCACATACTGTCACTGCACCTCACTTAATCTTATCTATCTTATGTCAATCGTGCCACACCATTTAGAAACAGAAGGAATAGTTTCTGTGATCATAAGGAACCTATGTTTAATTTAGATTCTGATATTTGAGCTCTCTGTCTTCATTGTGATTCATCTCCTCTTGCAGGGATTTGTCGGAACAAATCAAAGAGGTGACCAGGGAGAATCACGTCAGGGCAGAAAACACGGAGATGATGCTGAGCTTCCAGAAAGGACAAGTCACCCTTGAACAATATAAGGTAACACGCAGCAGTGCAGCTCAAATGTTTAGATCACTTCCCTTTTTCACACTGATCTGACACCAGCTCTCCTCCTTTGTCTCCTCTTCAGCTCCTCCTGTGTTCGCTGTATGAAATCTACCGGGCCTTGGAGGAAGAGCTGAACAGGAACTGCAACCACCCTGGTGTGGCACCCATTTACTTCCCAACAGAACTGGCCAGACTGGAGTCCATCGAGAAAGACCTGGAATTCTTCTACGGCCAGGACTGGAGAGAAAAGATTGTTGTACCGACAGCCACCAAAAGATACTGCCACAGACTCCGACAGGTATGTTTCACATGTGTCCTGTTACACACACACTTATTTACTTCATATCTAAACTAGAATAGCACTCAGTGGAGCACAAAGCCTTCTACAAGGCCCAGCAGTCTTCTATTAAAAGAGGCCTTACAGTTAAGGCCATGTTATGTTTCTCAGCTACACATGGGTAGTAGTTACAGCTTTCTGGCACTATTTGTTACAATACACATAAAAATATTAAAATGAAAAAAAGCCTAAACCTCAATAAAACCACATCTAAATTCAGTAGATTCAGATTTTTACTTAATTTCACACTTATAAATATCAGTGCCCGACTTTTTTCATCAAGATCCATTAATTATTCAGAGAAATCAATAAAAACTATGAAAAACTTCCTATTTCTTAACGTTAAAGAAAGTGAAAACAAATGCCATGAACGGCCCCCTGATCCAGATCTGCACCAAAATTCAACGGATTCTTTCCTGACCTAAACTACATCCTTCCACCAGATTTCCTAGTAATTCACTAGTAGTTTTTGCATCTTACCAACAAACAAACATGAAAACAGAACCTCCTTGGGGAGTTAGATCTGCACCTCTGCTTGTCTGCTGGTGGATGTTGAAATAAAACTGTTATGGCCTTTTTTCAGATTGGTCAAGAAAACCCGGAATTTCTACTTGCCCACGCTTACACTCGGTACCTCGGAGACCTGTCCGGTGGCCAGGTCCTGGGTCGAATCGCCCAGAAGTCCATGGGGCTGAAGAGCAACGACGGTCTGTTGTTCTTTGCCTTCCCCGGAGTTTCCAGTCCCAACCTTTTCAAGCAGCTCTACCGCAGCCGGATGAACAGCGTGGAGTTGACGGAGGAGCAGAGGAGCGGCGTGCTGGAGGAGGCCGTCAGAGCCTTCGAGTTGAACATTCAGGTGAGGAGAAACGACGGTTAAAGCAGAGCGAAGAAACCGAAAGCAGAATCATCACCTTTACTTTACAAGTGAACCTTTGTCTTTGCAGTTGAAGTAACAAGAAGCTAACTGACCATCTTGCGCTTCTTTTTCCAGGTATTTGATGATTTACAGAAGCTTCTGAGTGTCACTGGGAACCAGCAGCAGAACAGTTCCACACACTCCAAACCAGTGAAGACTCTCCAGATCCCTGGAATCATTACGAACCTCTCCCCTCTGCTGAGGATTGTACTGGGACTCTTTTTGGCTCTGGCTACTGTCAGTATGGGAGTCTACACTTTTTAAAGACAATATACAACCAACAAAACTTTACACTGGTCTGTTGCTGTTCAGATTTTTTTAATTGTGTAAAATTTTAACTGGCAAAATAATGTGCAATATTTTTTTAATTTAAACAGAACCATATTTTGTACATTGTCTTTCTCAGCAACACTTACAAAGTATGCAATAACATGTTAAATACGCATAACCGTAATACTGTAAATTCTATTTTTTAATAAAATATTTTGTTGAAAGAAAATCCTGTGGTTGTCTGTGTTTTGGTTTGCAGTGTTCATGCAAAAAGTTTCCATCAAATGGGTTTCACAGTGTTGATGTTCGCCCTCCAGCTGTTTTGACATTTCTAATATTTTGGTTTCCGATTATGTGCCGGCTGCTCATCTGGCCCTTGGTCATGTATTGGCCCCTGTTTACGAGATCGCACAATTACAGAAGTACACACAGTTATTTTAACCCTCATTTCTTCAGGGGACTGTTGGACCTTGTATGCAGTGGTATGGCCTCTACTGAATGCTACGCTAGTTATTATTTATCAATTTCTTAATGACCCTTTCTTTCATTTATTTTGTTGCTTGATAAACAAAACAGTTCTTACTGTACAGTAAATTGGTAAATAAATAGGTTAGAAATGGTAAATCACAGCCCTAATCTTGATCACATGTGGAAGCTGAAGTCAATACACAGTGTTCCACATGTTGTGTCACAATCAATGCATGCTGGCATTCGTATAAAAATAAAACATGACTTCTCTTTCTCCTCAGTGACCTTTTCCTCTTTAATACATATTCAAGAAACAGCACGTTGTCCTTGTGTAAAAGTTTGGTTTCCACTTTTATCTTGTTTTCATGTTTTTCCTAAAACCTGTGAACTGGTAGCACACATTATAAATTAAAACACAAAAATGATTGTTACCCACCCTCGGCCTGTTTGACAGTGACAGTGTTAATCAGTACAGTGCTGGTATCTGTCTCCAAACTGAGGGATGAAAAAAAACCTCATGTCAGAAATGATTGTACGTCACTGGTATTAGCTTCGCTCCACCTTCAAAGGCACAGCAGCCTGAGGAAATCAGAAATATCCTCTTATTGTCACTTTGACTGTCCAAAACTTTACAAAGTTGAAATTATGGTTCACATTCAGGATACACTCCTGCCCCTCTCTCACCAGTTCACTTGTTTGTGCTTCACCTTATGCAGTTAGTATCAGAGAGTACACACGTCTGATACCAATAGATACAAGAATTGAATTTGACGGGAGCTGGGAGCTATGAAAATGCATCACCTGCTGTAATAAGGCCATTGACACAAAACTAAATCCAGCAGCTTCGAACTAGAACAAAATAGGTAACTTCAACATGTATATAACTGACAAGGTAAATTCACAACGAAACCTTGACATGCCATCGATCTCTACTTACATCCTCTTAAAACACACACACACACACACACACACACACNNNNCACACACACACACACACACACACACACACACACACACACACACACACACACACACACACACACACACACACACACACACACACACACACAATCACCTATGAAGTCTATGCTACAGAGTGCCGGATGAGGGGTATCCCAAGGTGCTTTGAGAGGGACTGCACAGCACATCTAGTCTTTGCAATTGTCTCCAACAGTTTAAAAGAAACAAACACAAAGAGCAAAACCCGAGGTGAAGCACAAAGGACAGGATCCACATTGTGGAAAGGCCAAAAAAAAAAAGAAGAAAAAAAAAACTGATTCACATCTAAAAAGCAGCATCAAAGTAAAAGCTACAGTTATACTGAGACAACAAACAGAAACAATCTTCAGAAAATTTCAAAAGCTGAAATGCTGATGCTCATGGATGCGAGTGATGTATCTCAACATATCTTTGTTCAGAGAAACCTTTTGTATGCAATTTCTTACATTCCAGTAGAGAGGCCCGTGTGTTCAGTGACATTCAAGGCCATGGGTTCATTTGTAAATCATAGGAACTTCCATTCATGTTGTCATTTACTTCCATTCATCTTCTCATCTGTATTCTGGACTGAGACGAACGTCATTCTCGCCTTTGATATAGCATATTGCACTTCATGTCTTGAAAGGGGGAAGTCAATGACATTGGTGATGTGTATTTAATTAAAATAAGAAACCACTGATTAAAAATGCATTGTCAGTCATAAAAAAAAGTGAAATTACTTTGCAGTAATGTTTTGCTACAGCTTTTCATATTCTTCATCGAGCTTGATTTGGCACTTTTAAAGGCAACGAGTCAAATCTATGCAATGAACTGCAGGGCACAGTTTTCGACATCTGACTGCATCCTAACACACCCTCCAAACATCTGCATAATGCCACATCGCCTTGGCAACCTGTCTGAACAGCTACAGGACAGATTTGGCTAAAAAGTGCAGTTACTTTTAGGCAGGAGCAGCCACAAGGGGGCTGCTCAGTTGGTTTCATACGTGGACAGCAAGGCTGCATCTACCGGCTCCATGCAGGAGGGGCAGGTGAAGGAGCGCATCAGCCAGGGATCAATGCAGTCCACGTGGTAGATGTGAAGGCAGGGCAAGAACCGAATGGGATCGCCATACTCAAAATCCAACATGCAGATCACGCACCTGCAGCAGAGAGAAAGTTATTATCAGTCTTATTCATCCCAAAACAGAAAGAGAACGTGTGACTAGTAATGGTACACAAAAATCATGTTTTGGTACATCAGCACAAAACTGCTTCTTTTTTTGTTTTTTTACATGAAACCCTTCACTGGGTTTGAAGCAAACATTTGAAATGATATTTCCCTGGAATTGGGGATAACATCCAGCTCGGATCTGTTTGGGTCGAGCTTGTTCGTTTCCTCTCAGGCTCGGTTGTGTTTGGACAGAAAATTTCGCCCTGCACTCTATGTGTTATTGCTTTGGTCTGGTCTGAATTGTTGAGGCTGAAACATAGAGTTTCAAATTGAGTTCCACACACAAAAAGTTCTGCATGATGAGCTTACAGTGTTTAAATGGCTGAGGTGACCACAACCTATTAATCCAAACTGTTTAGGTTTCAGTGAAGATGTCTTTTAAAAAAGGTTCTAAAATGAATCTGATCCTTTATATTCCATCAAAATGATGGAAATAAAGACAAAGAGCAGAAATCTGTGATAAGCTTTGTTTAAGACTCACTCTTTAACTTTCTTGTCAGAGGGGTCAGAGCCCTGGTTGAAGGTGCCTCTGGGCAGGTGCTGGATGAGGCCGATGCGCTGGGCGATGCGGATCTGCTCCTCCTCGGTCAACTGGCTGGCCAGACGACTCTCACCTGGGGTGGGATGGTACACTGGCACCGGTTGGGTGCGCTCCTGAAAAAGAAAGAACAGAGAAAACTTGCATCATATATGAAACAAGCTCTCGTTTAAGGAGGATACAAGGATTCCTGGAACACACGGTCTGACTGTCACGTAGTCCTGATCTCACATCAAGGACTGAGACTGGGATCATATGAAGAGACAGAAGAATCTGAGATAAATCCACCAGTGAACTGTGGACCTGATATCTGATGTTGATCTGAGGTGATGTTTTAAAGGATAAGGGCACAGTCACATATGAAACTTCCCCTCCCGTTTAATTCCACAGTCTGACTTTGTGTGGAGGTTCAACTCTGATGAACTTTGACAGGCGACGTCACAGCCTCAACCAACACCAGTGATGTTCGGGGTGGTTGACCCGACTTGGCTGTCATTGGCAAATCCTCCTCCTGTCATAACGTTTCCACACTTCAGTTTAAAGAATGGCAGTAATGCACCTAGAAGTCATTTACCAACTGCCATAAGAAAACTGAGGAAGAAGAAGAGGAATCTTGTGAGTTTCCAAAACTCTGGAATCACCACTGTGAAATCTGACTTGCAAACCGCAAGTGTGTGGTTTTATATTCTGGCCAAATCATCAAGTGTGTGCGGCCTGATGATTATAGGACATAAAGACCAGGTGGCTGTGGCTGAGGGACAGAGTGGGCATCCTCCAATCAAAAGGTCGGCTTCTGGTCCCTCAGATGTTGAATGCACTAATTGTAAGTCACTTTGGATAAAAGCATCAGTTAAAATGTAATGTAAAAGAATCTGTCATTATGTCTGTGGTCTTCCACGTCTTTAAAATCCTCTAAGGTACAGCAGCACTTACACATTTTGCAGCAGAAGCTGGAGGTCAGTTGTAAATGCATTCTTGTTTTTAGTCACAGCAGTACAAGTACACAACATTTGGTTGGTTCAGGATTATTTGGGCAGATAATCAGCAGAGATTGACCTCCGGTCAGGAACGACCCCACGATTGTCAGAAGGACCAAATCAGGTCCTAATTGGCCTGATTATCCTCTAGTGTGCACCGCCTTAAATCAGACACTGGATCTCTGCTGCTGATGGTTAATGATGATAATAAAGGATCATGTGAGTTTGTTTTGAAGTGTTAATGTGGACATGAAACCCCACAATCCACCACAGGATCCACCACAACGTTAAATCCACTTCCTGTAGTTTTCTAGATACTGAGATTCAACAGTCTAGAGTCAGAATCCACCCCCATCAGTGATGATTAGACTTTATGGTGATGGATGTTCAGGAATAACGAGGTGACGTGCTCTTGAATCCCCGGGGTGTGTTGAACCTACGCCCCCGGGCTGCTCACCTCGTAGGGCGGCGGAGGCTCCCCGGGCAGACTGCCTCCCTCCGACTCGTTCAGCAGCGACAGGTCATCCGCTCCCTGGCTAAACAGACAGTTCCCCATTGAACTGAGAGCAGCATGAAAAGGAGCCCGACACTTGGAGACGGACACTTTATCTCCAGTGTCAGCGGGAGCTAAGCTAACTGGCTGTCGTCTCAGCGTTAGCTTAGCTTCTCAGTTAGCAGGGAGGTTGTTGTCATCAGGAGGAGAAGCGTCTGAGGGGGGGTTCGATCCGAATGTAAGAACCCACAGAACCACGTGGCTGTTGTGTGTTGACGTTTTCTGTTTGTTGGAAAAAAACAAACAAAAACACAAGAAAATAAAGACAGGAACTTACGTCATCTGGGAGTGCGGACACGCTGACGTTCAAAATAAAAGCAACGTGTTTTCTCTACTTGAATTCTTGGGTTGCTTATAAAACTGTTTACTCCTGAAAGAGAAATATTAAACTCAGACAACAAACAGTTTCATGTGAAAAATGAGATTAACGATGAAAAATGTTTGATACTTAAGGATGGTCTACGTGCCTATCTACCACTTTTAATAAAGTATTGTAACATCACACTGTGTAAGTCCATGAGTTTAACCATCTGACACCTTAGGGCTACAATGTTCTTTTCTTTGGGTTACACATTAAGTTTATTTCATCTATTTGATCTCTGTCTGTTTTTCTCTCATTAAAGATAATAAAAAATCATGTCTTGCTCTTTACTTTATTACATTTCTATACCAACTACTACACTGAAAGTTGAATATAATTTAAATACTCAGCATTTTTTATATATTTCTATTCTCTTGTCGACCTGCCTGCTACTGAAATAGCTGAATTTTGTGGGATCAATAAAGTTTTGTCTTATCTTTTTGGCCTGACTGAGTAATTGTTGAGTGCACGACAACCTGAGGTTTGTATAGTAACAGCTTTTTGAAACAAATAAACCTTACAATTGTCAAATGTAATTTCTGCTATACCATTTTAATTATTGCAGAACATAGTCCAGTTGCAGAGCTGATTCTTTATGTAGGTGTAAGTCCACAGAAAGAAAGACACGGCACAGCAAGATGGTACAGTCAAGAACATCCTTTTTATTCAATCAGGTGCTGCTCTTCTCAAACTGTGTTTTTCTTCTTATGGAAAAGAAACTGTAATTAACACATGCATTTCACCTAGAGCTCTGGGGGTGTTCTCACAAAGAAGTGGTGCTGCGCTGAGGGTGTAGAAAGAGGCATAGAAGAGCTTGGAGTCAGGGGGCCTAGGGTGCTGCCTATTACACCGATTAACCTTACACGCTTAAGAAGATAAAGAACAAAATAAACAACAGAACAAAGACACGGAGCAGTCCAGCATGAGGTGGTCAGAGGGGAAAAATGGATGGACTTCCCCTGAATCCTCAGAAATCTGAGGGATCAGGTTCATGCTGGCCTTTTAGCTGGTCTGGTTGGTGTGTTGTAAATGGCTAATACTGCTGAGAGGTTTTCACTGTGTGAATCCCACCATGAGCGATAATAATTCACTTGAAGTGACTGGTTTGAATGGATGTGGGATATGTCCTGGAAATGCGACAGCCCCTCTTTCAGCCTCATGCAGGACAAGTCCGGTCATAAGGTGCTTGTAGCTTTCATTTACAGTCCAAGGCATCCTCTAAGAGGGCCTCAATGACACCATACCCTGATAGCAAATATGAAAAGAAATCCAAATTAAAGGAAACAAATAAGGGTGGGGGGTAAAACAAAGCCAAAAATAAATATCTAAAAGCAAAAGGGCAAACTCTTATCCTAGTCCAAGCCGCCCTTTCCCAACATCCCAAAGCAGTTCATCCAGCCCTCGAGACCCCGTTAGTCTTCCCTGTAAACCTCTTCAATCCCAACCCCTGAACCCTTGTCGTCCCTTCCTAACCCACCCAAGGACACCCCCAAAAGCCCGTCAGCGTAATTTGTTCACTTACATTAGCTGTTGAATGGAGAAGCTGAAGAAGATGGGTATGGTAATACAATGTGAAGCATACAGACAAGAATAACATGTGAGCTAACTGCATTCTGCTCAGACAAAAGTTTTTTTCGGCAAATATTTTTTTTGCCCTCTTCAACAGTGGAGAGGGCAGGAGGGCGGGAGGGAGACAGAGAGAGGGAGAGAGGGGGGAGGGAGAGAGAGAGAGAGAGAGAGAGAGAGACGGAGGGTGACTGACACAGTTACAGACGACTCCAGTGTCTAAGAGAAAACAGACAGTGGAGACAGAGGGAAAGAAAAAAGCAAGAGCTGAACGAGAACAAGTTTTTTTGCCTTTTCAAAATTTTTTGTCATTATTTATCAATAAAAAGTAAAGAACTAATTCACACCAGTTTCCTTTTGTACTATATGTATATACATATACGTGTGTGTGTTTGTGTGTGTATATATATACACGTATATACACACACACACACACACATATATGTAGGCTTTTGAAAAGGAAGAAGGATATAGGGGAGGTACAATGGAGGGGATTCATTTTGAGCTGGAGGAAAAAGTGCCCATGAGCGCTGAATGGATAACGACCTTCTCCCTCCTTGCAGCACTCAGGGGCATCCTGCTACCTCGAGCCATTTGGACAAAAAAAGGGGCGATCTGGATTACAAAATGGAGTCTGTGAACAAAAGGCACTTTTAAGGGACAACCTTTAACTGCTGGGAAACTATACACTACAGCACAAGCACTATAAGAGTCATTTACAGAGGAGGGGGTGGAACAGGGGAGAGGCTCACCTTGCTGTCCGTTTCAGACCTCGTATTTTTGCCCGATTTTTAAGCTGCTTTGTTTTGCCGATTTTCTGCTGATGTGTACAGGAGACAAAAGGTCTTTGTACTGTGTGTATTTCAACACAATCTGCGGAGCTTCTATCCAGCTCTAGATTCAGGAACATATCAAGATGATCATGGGGCTAAAACGATTTGTGGGTGTGAAGCATCTCCCTCAAGCACTGGGAGGAACTTGTCATGTTTTTATGCCAACGTGGGTGAAATAAAATGAATTCAACTACTATTTGTTTTTGCTGGTGAGTTTCAGGCAGTGCATGGGTACGTTTTCTTAAGAGTTTCAAGGGCTTGACAGTATAGGCTTTTTACTTCTAAAGGTTGAACCAAAATGCCTTTTGTGTCACAACCTTAAGGAATAGGAACCTCTCCCCCCACTCAATACAAATAGAAGAATACAAATAGAGAGAGGAATAATGCTGTTTCCTAAATGGTCTGTTATTTTTGTTCATTACCATTCATTTATAATAATTCTGAATGTACTTTATGTGTTAAAGCACCAGTTTTCATTTGATAGAGAATTTTTTTTATCTGAAGTTGTGTAGATTTTTTTTCCTTCAGCCCTCCCACATTTTTATAAACAAATGATTACACATAAAACATTAAAAAAAAGGACAAAAGGAAATAAAAACAAATACCCCCAACATACAAAGACTAGGATTTTTCATGGCCCTCTAGTTTAGAGTCCTGGAGCTTATGGACTTGAAACAAATACATTTTTTTTTCACTTTTCTCTTAGCTTTCTTAAAAATCTCTAACAGACAAACACAATGATCTACCCAATGCATTGCACGTGGCTCAATCGACACATATTTTTCAATAATAATACTTTCCATCAAAAAACAAACACTTTTTTTTCTTCAAACCTACTGTCGATTTTTGACATGTTCATCTAGGTATTATGATGCTGCGCTGCAGATGGCGGTGGCGTGTGTGTCGTTCGATTCGTACTGGTAACAGTAAGGTGATGTTACTGAAAACAAGTTGTGTGGGGGGGAGGTGAAAGTTCAGAAAATAACTAGACTGCCAACAAGCTCATGTAGTAAAAGTTAAAAAGGAGCATATATCATAAATATATATGTATAAGATCTCTCTCTCTGTCTTTACAAAAAAAAGTTTGCAGTCCTCTATAAAGATCTGTCCTAGGCCAATGGTTTCCACATGCACCAACGCTACCATTCCCCGTAGCTTTAGCTTATATGTGGGAAGAGAACCTGAAGTCAAGTTTATTACTAATTGCATGAAGGGAATACAGAGGCACTTTCATATAATGTTATAGTCTTGATATATGGTTTTAGTACATAGAGCTAATGTTACTAGAGAGGCTGAGAACAGGGTCTCAGCCCTGTTTACTATCCCTGCAAAACAGAACCAACAGCTGGGCAGTCCAGTTATTTTGTGAGGTCGGCTTTTGTCGGATTGTGTCATGATGAAAATAATACCGAGAGCAATTTCAATGTGAACATTTACATAGAAAAAAATATCTCAAATTAAAAAGACAAATCTTAAGTGAATGAAAAACCATTAACAAAGGCAGTTTGGAGAACCAAATATAAAGGCTTCCCTTTATTAGTTTGTCAGGTTGTTGGTGGTGTTAATGTGCATTTTATGTTTGTGTGTGTGTGTATTCCTCTGGGTGTACCTGTGACTGGACTAGAGGGCAACTGGGCGAAGCAATGCAAGGGATGCATGTGATGAGCTGATGCTACAGTGCTGTCCATACGTGAGAGAGATTTGAGAAACTGTTTTGTTGAAATCTGTGAAGCTGTAAAATCAAGCATGATACTTAATGTCTTACTGCAAACTAAAGAAAAAGAAATTATGACATGCAGTGAAGGTTAAAAACAATCCAAGTGAGACAAAACCAAAACCAAATCTGTCCAAAAAAAATTTGAAAGAAAACACACACAACACAAAATTAAAGCTAATAATATGAAGTTAATGCTGAGCATTCCTGCAAATTCAAATCTGTGTGTATGAATAAAAACAAAATGATATAGTGAGTGGTTGTGAGACAGACTATTCTGTAGAGGATGGTCTGTATGTACTGTAAGCAAGTGTACCTGTGTGTGTGTGTGTGTGTGTGTGTGTGTGCTGTGTGTTTCAGGGCCAAAACTCAAATGTCAGCACAGCCACGTTCCTGCAGCAGCGACCAGCCTCCATTCACCTCTCTAATCGCTCATCTGACCATTGATGTGCAATACTGTTCATCCCTTATTAAAAACMAATAGTGCATAGGTGAGGGGGACGAAAGAGCACATGTAGAGTTAGTGTTATGACTGTCGTGTGTTCACTCGCTCGCACTCGCCTCATGGCTATCGCTTCTCCCACAGCAGGACGCCCCTGATTTTTGACAGGTAAACAAAGACCAGCCACTTAGTGCATATATGTCACACCATTGGATGGTGTCACCATGATTGGCCAATCAGAAATGAAAGAGGCTCAGGGCTGAGCGAATGAAGCGGCAGAGTGGTGGCGACGCACGCAGGCACGTGGGGCTGTGATTTAGGTCTGGACCCTGAGCAGCACTGAGCTCCAGGT